GAGGTGCGCTGGAGCAGTACGAACGCTGTCTGGCCGACGTGCCAGGCCGGGTGCGTGCCAGGAGGGCAGGCACACCGCCGCTCCAGCGACACCCGCCTTCCTCTCCGCCGTTACCTGGCTCACCCCGGGGACTCCCACGCTTTCTCAGCATCCTGTGTCCTTTCCTGTCCATCGATCCATTGCCCTAAATTAAACTTTTTAAAGCATCTGTGACTGGTGAGGCTTTTAAAACAGACTTTTTTTTAAGATGATTTTGTTAATAGATCATGCAAATTAAGTTAGGGCAGGTGATCATCTCGGGACCAAACACGATGACGAACCATGCTAGGTTTAAGTCTAACAACATTTGTAGCATTTTCAGTGTTGCTGCAGTTTGTTACTGAGGTACCCAGGCAGAGCTGATTGAATTTATTAAAAGCAGAAATTATTTTATTCTGCTTACGGTACAGGGAATATATTTGGATGTGTCCTGCACAGGGATTTTCAATGTACATTTCATAAAGTTTGTTTTATTTCATATTTTGAAGGCTGCATCTCATAATATGCTTGCTTAATTAGCCAGATGCCGTCAGAGCATGTGTTACCACTTCATTAAGACCTGAAGAGATGTGACAGCAGACCAGGTGGGCTTATTTGCCCCCGTTTGCCACACATGGCAAACACAAGTGTGTTCCCCACGCTGCAGGGCTAATCTCAATCCTAGCTTCACATTTTCTGGTTGTTGCTGAGCCATCTGCTGTGTCCCTTGGCAGGAAGTCTACAAAGATTGAATGTTTTGGTCACCAGGCACATTTGGTAGGTTGCTTTTCTTAACCACGTCCAGCTTTTTAAATTCCTCTACATGTAAAGAAGACTTTCATCTTAATCTTCTGCTCATGACCGTAATCCTCCAAATAAAAAAAGCTGCCCCAGATAAATACAGTCTTCAGATCTTTCGTACTTTTCCATTTACCAAGATATTTTCTCCCTTGAACTGAAACAGTATGTCAGCTTAGTCTTTCCTGTACTCCTCTTTAATCCACATTCCTTGCTTGCTAGATACAGGTCATTTAACAATCCTATAGATAGGCAGTGATTTTTAAAACCTTATCTGTAAACTGCAGATTACTTTGGTTCTTTTCAAATATCTCTAGATAAGCCTAAAAACTTTTCCTAATCTTGTACAGAAGATTTAAGAAAGGCTATATAAGCATAAAAATAAGGGCATTCTATCCTGTGCCTTTTGAAGATCCTGTTCCATAAATCTGCAAGTTTCTGAATATACGTTTTTCATGTACTGCAATAGTGGTTGTCTGCATGCAAATGAAGCAGAATTTTGACAGTGACAAAAGCCATTTCTGAGTAATTAGTGAATAAGCATCTCTTTGCAAGTGCACATGAAAAGCTGTTCACTCTTCCGTTTGCCAAAGATCAGGTTCTGCTGTCTGTACCTCCCTTTCACAAGCATGTCAGCAACAAAACAAGGTGCTTTTTTGCATCTAATACAAACCAATGATTACTTCATTTATTACAGAAGATGGAGGAGCTTCTTGTGATGGTGAAGAGCTTCTGCCATTAAATACTTCTTTACTAGCGCCAAGTGCACTTACGAACAATAGTAAAGCAGATATTATGGCCTGCTGTGTAGTCTGCATGTGGAAAAATTTAGCATTTCTGCTCCCTGTTGCATTACTTCTTTCCATACCATATTTTTTGATCACAAGCGTATAATTCAGATGGGTACTTCCATTTAAAGTGCATTTTTTCATCATGACAACAAGGTTTTTGAAACAAGCCTGTTACTCATCTCTGAAGCCAAGTACCCCTAGGTTACTCATACTTTATGGGAAACAAAATGATGCCTTACATATCTGAATAGCACAAAAGCATATCCAGGCAAAACTAAGACATCAGGTGACAACAGGCTATCATTCCTACGAATGTAGAATAAAATAATTTTTAACTATGGCAGTGAATCAAATAAAGCGCATGCGATGTACAAATGACTCCTTTTTCTTTGTGTAGTCCTAAAAGATTATTAATATAATCTTTGTTTGAGAGACCTTTAAAGAGACATCTTGCAGATCTACAATCAACACAATTCAGCGTTGTCACTCAAGCCTTATTTGTGCTATTTATGGGAAGGAGATGTGAATACTGTTGTGCTTCACATAAAGAAGCAACCTAAATGCATATATTACCTCTGTTTCAATCGTGCAGTTGTGTTGTGTCTTCCTTCCTTGCTACACACAACTGACAATCATACTGCAGGACCTGGTTTCAGAGTAGTAAATTCCTTTCCTGTTTTCATGTCCATTGATTTTCTTTCTGAAGTAGAAAAGTCTGTAACTGCAAGTCACATTGGAGATAGCGTCAGTACTGGAAATACCAGAGTTATGCTAGTTCTCACTTAAGACCTGTAAAGCCCTAACATTTCTGGAAATCGTGTATGGAAACACATTCCTTTAACTACTTACTTTGCCTTGGTTTTAGTCTTACTATTTACAAATTTTCTTTCTTCAATATTTTTGTTTCTGACCTTTTTATTTCTGCATCAAGTAAACAGCATTAGCGACCGCAGTGATTCAAACCCTGCTCTTAATGAAGACAGTGAAATGGCTCTTACCAGCTTTGCCCTTGCTTTTTCTTTAGCATATCTTGAATGACACAATGACACTAAAAGCCCCCTTTCTGTGGTTTAGATTTATTACAGTTATTTTAAAAGCAGCGTAACACCTACTATCCTGTTTTCATTTGCTTATAAAAATAATTTTATCATAAGTTACGTGACTATATTTGAGAACAAAATATTTTATGGAATATTAGAGTCATCTGTTAAACCATTTGTTGGAGGGAAGTCACGTGGATTAAAATATTTTACTCCATAATTAAGTAGATTAAGGACTTTTCCTTTATGGAAAGAAAAATCAATTAGTACTTCATATGAAGAGGCCACTTACTATAAGAAGCACTGATAAATTCTGCATATCAACACCTTAATGAGCTATTTAAACTTTTCCCTGCAGCTAATAGAATTAAAGTTTGAGAAGTTTGATGTGGAGAGAGACAACTACTGCAGATATGACTACGTCGCAGTGTTTAATGGTGGGGAAATCAATGATGCTAAAAGAATTGGGAAGTACTGCGGAGACAGTCCACCAGCGTAAGTAACTTTCTTGAATTATGAACTTCACTACCACTATGCGTTATTTTGCTAACCATTCTGTACGAGGCTTCCAAAAGATTTCTATTCTTTTTTAAATTAAATATGACATTTTCTACCTCCAATTAAACTTCCAGGAATTGCTTAGTATCTTGTTTCTCCATAGGTTTTCCCTTTTTTCTCTCCCTCCGTGACTAGCCCTGGCTCCAACCCGTGTGCTGTCCTGTCCCTCAAGCCTCATTAGAGCACTGTCCAATAACACCAATGCTAATGCTACTGATATTGCTATAATACCAATATTAATGGTAGCTGAACACTAACATCACCTTGACACGTAAGTTTTGATTATAGATACTGAAGTACAAGGATCCAACCGAGCTCCCTAGCCCCTTGGCTCATTACTCACTTTATCTGGCTCATTTCCCCCTCAGCTGCTTCCCTTTTGCTGGTTCCCCGGCTGCTCCTTGCTTCGCTGCTCACCATCTCTTCCGCCTGTGCCCAGGCACATTCTCTCATGGCACAGATTGCTTTCCTGAGCATGCCGAGTAGCACAGCAGGCTTTCACCAGCTCTGCTAGCAAACTGCTGCCTCCAAACCCCCTCAGCACCACCACCCCTCAACCCACAACTCCCTTATCCCCCAAAAAGCAACCCATCCCAAGCCTCCCACAGCCCAAAAACCACCCTGAACCCAGCGAACGGCACTGTAACTATATAAATCAGGTCTAGCAATAGCAGATAATAATTATTCCCCAAAAAGTGTAAAGTTTTTTGGGTGTGGCTAGTAATTTTTAGCTATCCTTTCACATTATTCCTCTTCCATCAAGCTTCTTAAAGCTGAGTAGCTGTAGAAGATTAAGAGGACGCATTTTGTTTCAAGAAATACAATTGAAGACATATTAATATGTTATAAACAAATTAATATTTAACACATATTTTTTAAAAATTCATGGAGCTGTTTGGCCAGACTTACATGTCAGAAGTGGCAGCTAGTTTGATTTCCCAGAGCAACTAATTGTGGTACAGGGGGAGGAGGTGCACGCCTCAGTCTTTCTAAGCATAGCTTGCTAGACTGAGATTTACTGTGAGGGGTTTTTTGTGTTTTTTGTTTGGTTGGGTTTTATAAGGTTATGTAGTATAGACCTCAGGAGACGAGAGGGGAGGCAGACATTCTGTAGGGCTCTTTAAAAAGAGTCTTTGTAAAGATTTTTCTTCTCCATGCAGCAGCTATATGCAATAGCATGACAGTGCTAGAAATAGAGCAAGCTTAGGCCTACGGAAATTTATTAGAAATTTAGCAAGAATTTAATTAACGGTAGGGCTGCACCTGAAATATATTAACTTCAGTTTCCTTCAGCCACTTTAGGCTTTTGGTCTGGAGTTGTACTTTTTTTTTTCCCCTTTCTGTTGTTTGGGGTTTTTGTTTTGTTTTGTTTTGTTTTGTTTTCTATTTTTTCTTTCTTTCTTTCTGTTCTGCTACACCCCCACCCCCAATTTGAAACTTTCTATGTAAAGACATTTCTTTTCAGGCTTACATTCATTTCCTTCCAGGCCCCCTTTTTGTAGTAAGAAGTCACAAAAGCTGCTCTATAGAAAAATACTGATCACAGAGAGTCTTACGGGTAAGATTGCTCTTTAAGTGCTAGGTAATTCAGGCCACTAAAATGATGCAAGAGGCTAAATTCTAGCTGTAGTTACATACATAATCAATTCCTTGTTTTCAGGAATAACTTCATTTGCAAAAGCAAACTATCTTTCCATCTTGCCTCCAATCCAAAGATTGGAGATTCTGCAAGGCAGAGTCAGTAGTGAGTCCTCAAGGCAAGGAGGTGGGTTAGAAATCTTGGACATTCACTTCCACCTCTTTGCCAAATGACATTCAGAATGTTTCCATTTTTGCTTCACAGATGTATTCACAGCAAAGTGACTTCATACTTTATAGCTCAGAGCTTTACCTGGAAACTAAGATGAATTGTTGTGTTGCAGTGCTGTGGCACTTGGAGTGACTGCAGATGGACTGAATGGGTCTCCAAATGGGTGATGTGTTTCTTTGACCCAAATGTTGTAAGCATCTGTACATATTAGATAAAAACCCACCATCATCTGAAGTAAAAACACCCTCCCAAAAGGAATTCTATTGCAAACACTCCTCTCTCATTAGACAGAATAAAAAAAAGCAACCAGCAGGTGACAGATAGTAGTTACATTACTTAATACTTTATCACCAGGTAGACAGGTATTCCATCGATGAGCACAGCATGAGAACCTCCTTGTGACTTTGCAGCTCCATCCCTTACAACTCCACTGTTACTGCAGAACAGTAAGGTATTCACCTTCGAGCTACTGTAAAAAACCCCCAAAACTAACAGAATCTTGTGTTAGAAACACTTAACTAGTGATGTTCCATACAAATACCTTCAGTTCCTGCCATGAGTGTTTTGTTGTGTGCATGCTGGATCCAGAGGGCTGGAGCAAATGGAATTGCTTCCTAGTTGAACAGAGTTTAAGTCAGAAGCTTAATGATTAATTTGACTCACACTATATGTAAGTTGTGACATTTCAGACCTTTTCCCACGAGGTAAGAACTGAACTCCACAAGATCTCGTCCTTCCCTTGACTCTCAGAAGGCAGAAATGAACAAGACCCCTTACAGACGAGGCTAGCAGCCTCCAGTCCCTGGGACTGCGCTGCCTCTTTCCAGCTAAATCCCGGCCCAGCTGTACGGTACATTTTGCACTGTCAGGAACTGGTCTTGGCTGACAGGACAGTGCAAAAGGAAGAAGTCCCAGTTAGTCCCCAAGAGGCAACCAGGAGACATACCTAAACCACCTCTCAACTGTGGCTCGGCATCTATCCCCACACCATGTCAAAGCTGTAAATTGGGCTGCCAAACCCTAGTGGCCTTCAAAACACAGACATTTTAGGATGGACTTTGTGCAACAGGCAAAAAAGGGCAGAAGACTGGGCTCAGACCCAGGCCCCATAGCTTAGAGATGAGATTTCCTGTTACAGAATGTTAGAAGTGTCCTGAAAGCCAATTTTATGATAGCATTGCTTCCTAACTGGAGATCTGGTATAGAGCTTGAACACAGTCTCTTCCCCTAGCAGAGTTGTATATAGGCAGCTTATATATCCAGTGAAAGGGGGAAAGTGTGGCTCTTGGGGATTTTCCACTAGCTCTGAAGAACCCTTATCAAAATTTATCAGCTGGGTTAAGAAAAACAGTAAGGACTAGACCAATGTTGTAAAAGAACCAGAAATCATGGTGTGTAAACTGAATTGTGAAGCAAGCCTTCTATAAGGAGTCTTAGCTGCGTGTCTGACACTAATTATGAAAGGTGGAACTCATTAACCAGCAGATACAGATAATGTAACATGGCATTCTGTAACAGAAACAGTGGAGACCTTGAACTCATATGGTGGTTGCAGAGATGAATTGAGATCCACCTGCAGACCAGCAAGCGGACAGTGTAACCAATTACCCGATTCCTAAATACAGTTACTACGATACATAAATAAATGGTACACATAATAATCACAATTTATTAGATGTAATTACTCAACCCTTCCCCCCTGCCTCTCAGACAAAAAGTATTTTTTAAAAAGACAGAATACACAGACTAGGTCAGATTTGCTGCTGTAGTCCTGGAGTTCAGGAAGCAGAAGCAAGCTCTGAGGCAGATGATAATCCTGCTGCATCCACAGCCTGTGCCAGTACTGCAGCAAGCGAGGCGTGATCTGTGCAACTACCACGGCATCGATGAATCTATAGAAATCCAGATAACCAGGGACTTACTTTTGGTTATGCTACACTCTGTCATCATAGTAAACTGATTTCTGAAACACCTGCTAAAAAACTGGGAGATGATCACAAGTTTTTACTTCAAAAGCCTGATTAAGTGTTTTGAAGTACTCTGGCTCATGATTCCTGTCAGACTTCCTGGGAAGAAACAACACAGTCATTTTAGTAAAAATATATCTTAAAACCACTTTCTGTTTTCCTTTCTCCTCACCAAGATTCTTTTGCCCCTTTATTTATTTTTCTCCCTCTCTACAAAAACTGTACGTTTGCTTGAAAAATTTGTGTTAGTAATTATGAGTGAATATTGAGACAAGGTCTGTGGAAAGCAGAATGAGAGGAGTGCTGCTTTGGCTACACTTGCATCCCGTACGATTCCTCTAACAGTAGTCTTAAAGGAAGTCCCATCACGCTACACCCACATCCAGAGGCAGTCAGGGTCACAGAAGGTACTATCCCGCTTAAGAACTGAAAGCCAATACACTGAACAGTGCTCGTTCATGACGTTTCAAATCCTAAGAAAAGAACTCCATTAGCTCTTCAGGGCCTTGGTAATGAATATCCAATCATTGACAAAAACTGAGCCCACAGAAATAATAACCCAAACCATTTTAATTTTAGTATTTTTGTCGAAGAATTACAGAATCCAACATTGAATTCATTTTCTTAAGGCCTTCCAGATGCTTAATAAGTTTTTCATTAAACAAAAATAAATTTAAAAAAACCCCAATTACTTTCCTCTGCTAAATAATGAGGATTTCTTTAATATATTTTCCTGCTATGTTAATCTAGCCCCTTCCATTCCATGGAAGTGGTCTGCAATAAAGTCACACAGACGAATTTAAAGACACTCATATTGACAGAACCTTCAAGAATGAGATGTTTAGCTGGTTCATCAGAGTGAGTTTCACACCCATAACACCAGTGTCTGTCTGACACGACAGCAAAGGAACACATATTTCAGTATTAATCTAGGGGTAGATACTATATTCAGACCATTAAGTGAAGCGCACTCTCATTTTTTGTAAGAAGAATCTTACTAATGCTCTTTGTCTTTGACATTCAAAGTAATGTTGGTGGCTTATTTTTTTTTTTCTATTTCAGGCCTATTCTGTCTGAGAGAAATGAGTTGCTCGTTCAGTTCTTGTCTGATTTAAGCTTAACAGCCGATGGTTTTATTGGCCATTATAAATTTAGACCAAAAAAGTTACCCACAACTACAGTTCCACCTACTACCACAACAGTCCCTGCTACCTCAAGTAAGTTTTACTGGCTTTATTTTATTTCTTAAAAAAATAAATTATTCCAGGACAAGGAGAGGGTTACGGAAAAATGTAATAGTATATTAAAAATTACAATTTAACGGTTTGTTACTATTTTAAATGTTGAGGGAATTAAAATTAATATATTCAAGGGAGAATCTAGTTAATGTTATTAAAAGCAAATGTATCCAGGTGAGAGTTCAGTGTAACAGTAACTTGCTCTAGCTGAATTTTCCTGTCTCTTCTCAATTTTTGACAGTTAATTAGCAAATTCCATAGAAGAATGGATGAGCAAAATTCTTCTGTCTAAGAAGATCTAATTATTTCAGGAAACAGTTTTATTTAAAGGAACTCTTTCTTCTATACAAGTTAATATGTAAAAATCTGATCATATTTTTCTTCATATAGTTATTAAGATCAAGCAAAATTGGTATGGAAGCCACCTGAGCCCTCTTCAGATTCAGTTGACATCCTGTCAAGATGACACTCTCCTAGAACTATTTTTATTTTAAAAAGTTCAGGGATTGGAACTTACAAAGAAATGTGTCACACTAAAAATAAGTTTCCTTTTATATTTAAGACTAGACAGCATATATGAAAGATCAGAGGAGGATTTCTCTGAAGGTATTGCCAAAACTACCTCATTACTGAGATACTGAAGGGATAAATTCTTACAATTTCTGTAACCTGAATGTGAGAGATTTAAGATACAGTTATAGCAGAAAACCAAATTATTTATGATGTTTTTTGCAACACATAACCTGATTTGTACTTAAAACGCATCAAAAGTCAGGACAGCAGTGGCATGTCAGCAGGAGACCAAGAAGATGTGGTGCTTAAATACTGATAATGAAAGGTATTTAAAATAGATGAAAATAAACATTATAAAAATGAAATCATAATGACCTGTAAATCATTCTGATGTGACTGCTAATAAAAAAATAATTCAGCTCCTCTTCACTAGAAAGCACTTCTTAATGAAGCTGTTAGTTCAAACGCTTGGTCTCAACTAATCCAGGCTGTCAGATATCTCACGCTGGATTTGTGCTCAGGGTTTTGCCATTTTTGCGCTGTGAGCTGTTTGTGTGTGCACATGAAAAAGAGGTTACTTTACTAATTAAATCCAAATAATTTTTTATAGCAATATCAGTGTTAGAAAATAAAACCAATGCAAAGTCACCTGAGAGGACCACAGAGGGAAGGTGTTCAAAAGGACTTGTCAGGCAGACAAAAATAGAAGTCCATTCAATGTCTGATCAGTTATGCATGGCGCAGGCATTTCTGATCCTAAAAACAAACCACAGCACACCAAACCTCTACAATTTAAATTTCTGATCAGTCATTTGCATTCAGAAGTGTCCAGTTCAAACAGACTTAGCTTATTCTCTTGCAAGTCAGACATATTCAAACTTGCAGAGAACTCCAGGCATTAATAAAACATTTAACTTTAGTAGGCACTTTCAAACAGTACCTCAGTCTCTATCTTACATAAAAATATTAGTAATTGAATAAATAATTAATACATTAATAAAAGTAATGAAGGTTAATCCAGTACAAATGGTTAAGGAATTGGTTTTCTTATTTCATTGGATCAAGTCATGCACTTGTCTGTCAATACGGCCACATGTGAAATGGTAGGCAACTGAACTTTTCATTCAGATCTTCTCCAGCTCCTGTTTTGGTAAAGTACCTTGCCTGTCTGTACAAACAACAGGCAGCCTCTACTGACAAATCACAGCAAAGTTAGTCACCTACCAAAGTTTACTAAACTCAAAAGTAAAACTTGAAGTATTAACACACACAACAAAAAAACACCTGAGAGGACCAAACAAGAATATTTTATAATGCATAATCCTAGTTTTAAATTTAGAAAAATCAGAGCACCTCAGTGAATTTTTGGCCGCTACTGTACTGGCATGCACCTGTGACGCATCTACGTGCTACATTTCTTATTTTTCTACTACGGACACTGAATTGAAAGACTCAAGGAACACTAAATTCTTAGGGTTTTTTTGATGTGTTGCATGTAGCATTGAGATAGGAGGTACTTGCCTGACCTAGCAAATGACGCTGTGGGACAGGGAAACTAATTAAATAGCATGGCACCCTGCCAAGCGCTAACTACAATTTAAAACATAATCTGAAAAATTGTCATTTAGTTTAAAGTTCTAGGAGCCAAATATAGTGTATTCTTTCTACATTGTATTCTACACAGAAGTCACTTTATAAAAATCAACTCAGCATATAATTAAAAATATTTTTAGAAATACACACTGGTATGAAAGAACTATGGAGACACATCAAGGCAGCAGAAGTGATGGCAGTGGGAGTTTCACTCCCATGACCGTGTAGATCTGACTGTAGGACTGAGGCTACATCATGCAGAATATGACTAGATGTACCTCCACAGACATAGTAACTTGCCCTTCAGAACACTTTTCCTTGTGGGAGGCATTTAACTTTCTAAAGAGTCTCACTGAATACCCATCATGTGAAGACTGGAGAAAAAAGAGCAAACAACCCCAAGTCAATGAAACATATGGGGTCCAAATTTTAAACTTTGGATTTCAAAGGCAAAACAATGAGCATGCAGATCTTCTAACAGTCATGGACATAACTGAAGCCAAAGTAGTTTTAATGCCATTCAGTTGAATCTCAGAAACTTGCAAAATTGTAAAAAGAATCCATTCATTCAATTAAAAGTACAAGTATAAATTACTGATCAGAAAATTAGTCACAAGTTCTTTTTCAGAAAGTATAGGCTGAATAAAACTTCTGCAAAATGTTCCATTTTAAAGAAAGTTTAAAAATGCAAAGATATTCTTCATAACTAATTTAGTTTTTCTTGGAAATTAAGGCTAGGTAGGAGTTTGGGTTTTTTTAATCTGTCTCAGCTCCATGTTTCCAATAATTATGATGTCATTCACCAGTTCCAAACAAACTTGAAAAGTGCATAAAAGCCTTAAAAATACTGCATTCCCACATTATGTAGAAAGGGTTAGCTGAGTAAAGTATATATTAACATCCACCCAAGGAGGAAAAACACCCTGAAGTGTATTCACTTGTTTATAAACAAACCATTCTGTTTTAGAGAGGAAATGTCAACCCGTAATATTAAATAGATATTTCAAACACTATGGTGTGTTTCAAAATGTCGTCAGTAAAAAATATACAATACTACATGTCTTGAAGCTATGTGAAAAATTTAGGACAGGAATTTGAACTCTGATCTCTTCCATCACAGTACAGTAATTTCAGATAAAAGGCCACCCCCTGTCTCTGAAGTGTTACTGTAATGTAATGTTATGATACTTTAAGTGTACTACTAGGGCTGTATGGCAACAGGCAGCAACACTAAGTAAGGTACATATTTAAGATCACACTGCAATCAACTGTAAATTTTCTGTAACATCCCATTCTGTAAGGTCATTAGAACAGATACGTCACTGAGACACGTGAAAAGACGATGAGTGCAGGTGACGGCAGAGAAAAGGAATATTGCTATTGTGGTGGTCATCCCTTGCAATACCAGATCTCGTTATTGTACACACCAGGATTATTCATCTTTCTTCTTGCTTTTAAACATACGGCTTTGCATTTATATCAAATACCTCACTTCAATTTCAATTTACTTTTTGCTCTTCAAAAAGTTGTGAAACCTACAGTTGCCCTGTGCCAGCAAAAGTGTAAGAGGAGCGGGACTCTCGAAAGCAGTTATTGTTCAAGCAACTTTGGTAAGGAAGCAAAGTTTGTTTCTTTTTAATTATTCATTTGGCAGTGTGCTTTTAGACTCACAGGAGTTTTACCAGATGTAGTTCTGAGTTACCCTTAATATACAGGCTATATTTTTGTACTATCTTATGTGTGTATCTGGCATTAGTATCTGTGTTTCGCTCAATACATGCTTGGAGATATTCTGAAATAGGGACTGTGCATATGTCTGAAACACACTTTCTCAATCTGAAATGCAAATGACAGTGGAAGGCAACCTCCTGCAGGGAAGTATTGATTCAGTTACTGTATCGTCATCTCATCTGTCTGTAACCACCCAATACAGATTTCATGCTGTACTTGCTGACTATTCCACAGTTTATAGACTTCCAAAATATTTTTAAAAGAAGTTGGAAGGCATGGAAGCTTACAAGCACTGCTTTCCGTACACAGACACAAATTGAAAAATGGAAAATCACTCAGGAAAAATGGTGTCTGCTGCATATTTGGATGGCATTGTCACTGCTGATTTGTTCATTTATATCTCAGAGTATTTTCCCATATTAATACTGGAAGCTTTTTTAATCCTCTGTAACATGCCTAAAAAATTGATGGGACAACTTTCCACCTCCCACAGCACTTTGTTTGTTTGTTTTAATCTAACTTTATAGCCCATCCCATGAGATTAGGGGAAATCTGTTGTTTCAGGAAAGTGGGGACAGCTTTGCATCGTTTTGCCAGAAAAACAGCTGAGGGCTGTGGCTGTACTCTCCAGCAGAGCGGAGTCACTGTGGCATGACCCCTTACCACTCTTGGCCACCAGCCTCTTTTAGTCTGCAGCCAGTATAGGCTGGCCCAAGACAAAAAGAAGCAGGTAGGGAAAAAAAAAAAAAATTGGTGTCCCCTTACTGAGCACACCTCAGCTCTTGTGGCTGATGGTAAATGGCACTGTACAAAACTTGTTCTTTTTCCTCTAGCATCAGCGTAATAAATCATGTTCACTCTCACTTTTTGTCAAATACTTGAATTTTTTGTCTCTTCCATGGCAAGAGTAAAAGTATTTTATATGCTATTGTGAATGCAAGTGTATCCTAAAGTAAGAACAGAAACTGTGCTGTTTGTAGAATATGATTTATTCCAGGTTTATTTTCTAAATTCATAAAGTCAGCAAGTAATAGCCATTTCTCTTTCATCACGCATTTCTTTTTTCTTGTTTCTAGAAATATAACTGCAATACCCAGCATTTTAATATCCGCAGTTCTCTTTTGATTGAACTTGAACATTCCCAATTAATTAAAGCTCTGGAATTAAAGGAAGATAATGTGCAAATTTACAAATGCCTAACCTGAGGTGTGGATTATGCAGACTTCTGCAATAAATCCCACGCGCATACTTGATAAATGAAGATCTAACTGATCCTATGATAGAATAGCTTATTTACAAAAGGTGATCTGAGAAGAAAAAAACCTGCTAATACCATTTACCGTTCCCTTTTGATAACTGAAGATGGCCTACAAGTTAATATAGTCATCCTAGAAAAAAAATGGTATCTTTATTTTCATACTGAGAGGTCTTTGAGAGTTATGATAGTCTAATCTGTAGTCTAAATTTAGCTGAAATTGGCAAATTTGTATCAGTATCAGGCCTCAGACAGATCACAATCTAGCTCCTAGGGCATGAACTATTCCCTGCTACTCATCTGAGAGTGTCAGAGAGCTGGGAATTCAGCTTTTGGCTACAATGTTTTCAATTCAGCTTCTCCACTGTTTTAAAATTAGTCATAAAAAGTAGTATCAAATTGTACTGTTTAATTGAAATTATCAAAACCTAGAACTGGGCTTGCAAGAGACCGATACATTCGAGGAACGGTTTTATACTTGGTGTTACCAATATTTGTGAGTAGCGAGTTACCCATTACAGGCGATACCCACATTTTAGTAACTGTTTCCAGCATTGTTTCCTTCCTTCTTACAGACTAATATACTACTCAGTTTTTATGATGCCTCAAAATTTCTATCTAAAAAATAATAAAAATGTATCAAATGTATCATATGTCTTTTCTTCTAGTAATAACTGGAACTGTAATCACAGCAATAACGCGGGCTGGCAGTCTGCATGCAACAATATCAATCATTAATGTATATAAGGAGGGAAATTTAGCAATTCAACAAGCCGGCAAGAGTATGAGTGCCAAGATTATTGTTGTATGTAAGCAGTGTCCTCTCATCAGAAGAGGTAGGTACACAAAAATAACTGCTTTGTGTGTTTATAGAAGACAACAGTTTTGAAAACTGCTATTTGAAATAGGACCACAAAAATCGGTAAAATTATAGTAATTGTTTCTATAATCAGCAACTAATATTATAATCAATTTAAGATAAAAATAACTAGTTATCCAGGTTTATACTGAATTTTTAATTTTTACTTATAAAGGATCACACTCATGTAGATGAAAGGAGTTTGAAAAACTTTTTTCTTCTTTTCAAACCCACGTGATATACAGTAAAATCTGATTTGGTTCTCTTATGTGAAGCTCAGTTAGATTTTGATTTTATGTGAACATATTTTGGAGCTATTTTTCATACACAGTTATGCAAAAGGGAAAAACAACTGCATACTAAACCTAGAAGAGCAGTATGTCACAGCAAATGACAAAAATCAACCTTTCCCTGTGGCTTCTCTCCTGCATATATTTACATCTTTACTGTAGAAATACTAGTAGTACTAAACCCGTTCTATATCTCCAAACAGCCAGTATTTGTAGAGCTGTCTTGAACAGTATTGTACAGTGTGGATCAACCAAGATAATTTCCAGTTAACTGTAACAAGGGCTACCTAGATGGTGTTATAAGAAATACTGAGACTATGTTTCATTGAAGTAACTAAGTAAAAAAAAAACAGTTTTCAGCCCTGCCTCCTGAGTAAACAGGTGGAGCAGGAGAACATAAATGGAACCATAGCAGAAAACAGTCAATTTAATTAGCATTAAAAAAAAAAACCTGATAACATTCAGGATACTACTGGTATTTAAGCATGTTAATTCAAAGTGGGCAGTACCAATGTGAAAAACCCTTGTCAGAAACTAGCTTTTGCTTTTACCTCTGGTTCTCTGGAAACTAATCTGTCTGGGAGACATAGTAATATCCTTGGTAGAACAAATTGTCTCCTTTTAGGCAGACCGCTGGCTCCAAACCATACACTTCTGTTTCTCTTCCTAAATCTCCATGAACTGTGGAATAGTCATTACTTAACGTCTAAACTTTTCTGCTTATACCCCTATAACACCCCTCTTTCCAGCCTAAGGCCTTGCAAACCCCTAACCCTTCTAAGCCATAAAAATATGCAAATCCATCTGATTTCTCCACAGCCAGTGCTTATCACACAGTAAGCCCACCTTGCTTGCCTGACTGCCTCTCTATAAAATGTGTACGTCTTTGGGGGAGGAAAAGAGAATGAAACGACTTTTAAGTGCATTATTCTTTCAGTCTATTATCCTGAAAGTTGAGCAAATGAGAAAATATTCAAAATGAATGAGATAACTTACATTCCACTTTGAGTGTCAGTAGCTATCCAGCGTTTATACTGCATTTATGATGTTGTTCAGACTCATTCTGACAGTCTACATTCAATTAATATATCTTACATATTTCATTATGTAATAGTTACTTATCTACTTGATTTTTATGTAACTGTACTTTATCGCATAACAAGCATGGCAAAGGTGGGTAAGGAAGTATAAGCTTTACATAGGAAAAAAATGTTAGAAAGCATTGGTAACAGAGTGCAAATGAACAGAGACCACAGATACAGAACTATACTTACCGTATCAATTTCTGCCTTGTAATCTCATGCTCTCCTTTGTAGGTTTAAACTACATCATCATGGGCCAGGTAGAAGAAGATGGTAGAGGCAAAGTCTTTCCTAACAGCTTTGTCATGAGTTTTAAGACTAAGAATTCAAAAATCCTAAATGCCTTGAAAAACAAAACATGTTAAAACTAAACTCTGCAGCTGCATTCTATCATCTCTCTTGAAAAATAATTTTCACTTACTATAAGTCATGAAAATACAACTGACTGTCAACACTAAGACCATGCTCACCCTTTGTTCCCTCCCACCCACCTAAGCACACCCTGGCACAAAGTAGTATCCATGTATGTGTACCTGTCAAGACTAGAACAGATCCTCCGAAGTCTTAAAGCTGAAGATGTGCAGCACAGCCATCTGATCTCAAACATACCAAATTCCAATTACTTGGAAGGTGTTAATTTATAATTGTCCAATTTTTTAAGGAGTTATGTATGTAAAATAAGAATTCTAAGTGCAATATTTATAGTAACTCATTTTAACTTAGCTTTTTCTCTAAAGTTGTTTTATTACATGGATTTCTGCATTATTATCTGTGCTTAATAAAATATTTTCAGATTAAATCATACACCAACTAGTTATTCATTATGTATGAAGTGAGGCAGGCTCAACATAGACACTGTTTTGATCATTTACATGCTTTTGATGGTTTGGATCTCGCACAGTATGACTGAGACTACACTTCCTTGCTGATTAAGGGCCTGATTGTTCTCCCATTGAAGTCAGTAAATCATTGATTTGAACAGGAATTGGATTTACTCTTCAAAGAGCAAGACAAATGTAAAACTGTACAATGCTTTTCTCTGTTGATGACTATATTCTAGTTGGAAAGTGTCACTATTACGTTACACCAGCTAATTAAGGAGGAGGAAGGAAGGAATTCATTTAGTGGTGGCAAAGTACACATGCAAATAGTGCAAATTTTTGTCTCTACTGGGAAAGGACAGACAATACAGCAATGCTCAGTCTGGCACCAGTAGTGCAAATAGTAACATATCTGCCTAATTTATTTCATTCCTATATGCACAAAGTTGACCAAGTAGCTACTTTGAGAGTAAGGGAAGGAACAGACTGGAAGCAGCCGGACAATGTCACAGTGTTAAGAGATCTTTGTCAGGTCTGTCTTGTTGTGTATGGTTATTTGTTACTTTGAAACTGAAAGGCTAGAACCGAAGATGGAGGAATACAAACAGATTATAGGTAAAGACTAATACTGAGAAGCTGAAGAACATTCTGGTCAAAAGCAGATATGAAATACATGCTTTTCGAACTGGGTAAAACTTGAACACAAATAAAAATGACATGGAAGGAACAGTATCTAAGATCCCTTTAAGCACTTCTTTTCCTCATACATAAGTACCCTACCAGAGTTCTTTTAATAATCTGTAACCATTGGCAGGAAACTAATGAGACACACATTCCCTGTTGGAAGTACTCCTTGCTTATTTCAGTAGCGGAATGCGGATTACCATTCCTCTTCAATTACTGATTCTCATATGCAGTGCCAAGAGGTACTGCCACAGTGCCGCTCAGTAGCACAGCAGCGTCTGTTCCGAAGACTGAGCGGGTAGCTGGGCTGGAGACAAAAGAATCAGAGGGAGGCACAAGGGTATGTAACGGCTGCACTGGCAGCTCACATCAAACAGCTCAGTGCTGCAACCACACTTTGCAGACTGCTAGGCCTTTGCCTTACTGACTAAACCAAACAGCATTTCTGTACGGGAATGACAGAAGCATTTGTTTGCAAAGCAGATTAATTTTGTAATTTTAGAATTTTAATTTTAATTTTCCACTGTGGATTCCTACGCAGATCAAGGGGTTTTATGCGCAGTGCTCCCTGCATTTCTCAGCAGCAGCCTGGGGAGAAGCAATGCAGAAATCATGCTCAGAACTGTCTTGAACTACAATAGTCTATTTTTATTTATGATGACATGACCATCTGTCATGCAACTTTTTTCAGTGAGGCAAGAAGAGTCTGGCAGCCTGCTCCTCCTCTCCCAATTGGTAGGCAGGGAAAGCTCCTGCCTGCTCTTCTCTCAAGAGTCCCTTTAGACCAGTTTCCCAAATCAAAGCACTGAGAGCAGTAGCCCTGCTACCTGGAACAGGAGCCAGGACTCGGAGCAGTGCCAGTTTTCTCAAGTAAGAATCAGTTACAAAACAGAGGTAACACTTATTACAAGTTTTCAAAAGCACGTATAGAGACTGTAAACTTCAGACATTTAAAATCCAACCTGCAACCAAACAAAATTAAAATTATCTAATGGCAATATAATTTCTGCAATAATTTCAACAGAAATAATAAACAAAACCATAGCATAACAAGCGTGGAAAATAAGCTGACTTTCAGCAATGAATGGTTTTGACCTTTCTGCTGCAAATGGAGGTAGCATGAAAATTTCTCTCTCCGTTTTTCATTCATCAAGGCAAAGTTAGCTCTAAGACAAAACAGATATTAACATGAAAAAAAAATCAACATTTTTCAGTAGTCTCAAAAACCCCACTTAGTCCTTTCATGACCTGCACTAATACATGTACAAAGATATTCTGAATCCTATAGGCATGTAAACTCCAGCTTCTCCAAACTTCTCCCTCTTTTTGACATCCCGGTTTAAAGAATCACAGAGTGGTAGGGGTTGGAAGGGACCTCTGTGGGTCATATAGTCCAAACCCCCTGCTGAAGCAGGGTCACCTACAGCAGGCTGCAGAGGACATTGTCCAGGCGGGTCTTGAATATCTCCAGAGAAGGAGACTCCACC